AAGTTGAAAACAAATTAAGACAGTAAGAGTAAAGTACCAATATAGACAAAAATCACCGATCATTACACGGAGAGAAATAGATGATAAAAACTTATGATCTTAAAATGGTAAAAAGTAGATGTTATCCGGTACTATTATTATGCTACTTGGTATATTATACGCACTACAATCAATATGTTACTTTGTACAATCTGGATAGTGACTGATATAATCTAGATTGCCGACTAATAGTTTTCCTGTTTTACCATCATTCGGTAATGTAGATTTCTATGTCGGTAATTTTTTATATCATCATTTTCCTGCTTTTATCATCAGTCGATAATGTTATTAATGTCTTTGTTATCAAGTACCTTAAAAACTTTGTGGGATCGATTTTTATTTAAGAAAATGTTTCGATCTTGTATTTAAAAAAAATATTACTTTTTTCGATAATATTGAAGTTTTTTTTAACATTTGTGGTCTCCCATGTTTAATATTTAAAAAGTGCCATACTGCATCAAAAAATAGACAAAATTTGCTGTAATTGTAACAATTGTTACAAACAAAAAAAAATTGTTTTGGTAGACTTTAACTAAGAAAGATTACATTTTACCTTCTGTTGCTTAGTTTTTTTTTGCGATGAACAAATAACTATACACTTTCGGTAGAGTGACTATTATAGAACTGAAAATTACTGTGCAGCTAAAGTTTACAAATGTTTCACTGTATCACAAAATTTTTATTGATTATTTTATGTTGGCAGAGTTGTTAAATGATAACTTTCTTTTACTGTTACACACTAACCAATATAATTTCAAGGACTTTTTTAAACAAAAAAAATAAAATAAAAAATAATATTGAACAAAAATAAAGAAAATAAAAACGTTAGAACATAATTAAATTTACAATTTAAAAAATATCAATTTCTCATAATTATCAAAAGGAAACTAATAATAACACAGAAAAACTCGTAAACTGAAATTAAGAATATATATTCTTGGCGCATATTTTAAGAATATTTTATACTTAAATTGGCTCCAAGAATATATTTTTAATTTCAGTTTACGGATTTTTTGGTGAAATATTTTCATTTGTCAATTTTATCTTAAAAATTGGACAATTAAAAATTTATTTTGAAATTTTTATTTAAATTATTTTTTAAAATGTTAATTATGTATATCATATTAAGTAAAATTCTAAAAAATTGACAAAATAACTTTTAAGAAAACTTAAAAATTTTATTTGCAGAAAAATTGCATTTTAGATTTTCTGAAAATTTTCCGCGTGACTTTTCAGTGAATTGTTTTTGAAAATTTGTAGAAACATTATTTAGCATTTTTGGAGAAAGTTTGCAGTGCACAATTAAAAAAGGGTGTACATATGGCTATTTGACACAATTTTGCAGCAAACATTTCTTCTATCTGGGTAATATCTATTTTCTAATATATTATTTTTGTCTAAAATAACAAACCTATACATAAGACATAAAAATTTTTGAATAAAAGATTCTTAAATTTTAAAGCAATTACATGTAACTTTTAAAGCTATCGATTATTTTTAATTAAAACTTGGGTATCATTTTTTTTGCTAAATTATATACAAAGGAACTATGTACAGTATTAGAACAAAATATTTATTTGACAATTAGTTTTATAAGTTAAAAAGTGAAAAAATGCTCAAATTTCATTTGAATTTCTTGAAAAAGTTTATATTCCTAACCTTTTTTATTTTTGCGGCGTGTAAAATATCACTTCAGCTACTATGGAAATATCTAACAGACATATTTTGTCAAAAAATTTACACTATCCCATTAGTGTGCCACTACTAAAACTAAAAATACGAAGGTTTGATTGAGTGATAGCACTTTTTTAAAAATTCAATTGAACGTCTTCTTATGAAAATATTTATTACGGCGTTGGAAAAAAATAAAAGTTCAATGCATTTCTTAAAAGGTGATAAAAAAACAAAAATTTTAAGACCTTTTTCAATGATGTGCCTCTAATTGTATTCCTGTGGCAACAATTTAAAGATGATAATAAAAATCGTGATTTCATTTAAAATTATACATTTTTGAAAGGCACAAATGCATTTTTGCTTTAAACAGGTCAATCTATGGTGTGATCGAAACATTTTCATACATATATTTGAACACAAAAACGCCGCTTAAGGATTTTAAGTGAAATAAATTTTATTAAGTTAAGAATATGCTGAAAACACTTTTTTGGAGTCTTTACCCTCTCTTTTCTCAAAATCCTGACATCCTAAGCAAATTTGGGTGCCAGAATTGTGTTCAGAGGACGAAATTACTTTGGAAACCACTCCGATATCAAAAATAATGATTTTTTGAAATTTAACGTCAACGAAGAAAGTGTGTTTTTGGAACATTTTTTAATCTATTGTACTAAGGAATTCAAAATTATGCTATATATGAAATTTGTTTATTTTTTCTCAAATTTTTCAAATATGTGCTCAAAAATAACGTACCTATAACAGAAGCAACAAAAAAGTTGAAATTAAACTTATAAAGTGAGTTTCCTTAACAGAGACACTTTCGATTTTTAATTTTTTTTTTTGCATTACAATCTCTGATGACTGAAGAATTTTTTCCCCTATCTGCGAAAGTGGTACTTTTAGTTTTTAAATTACTATTTACAATTTTTAAGCTTGACGTAACGATTTTTAGTATGTTTTTATGAAAATTAAAAAAAACAAATGAATGTTAATGTAAAAAGGTTATATTTAATAATATTATAAATAGTAATTTAAAAACTAAAAATACCACTTTAGCAGATAAGGGAAAAAATTCTCCAATCATCGGAGATTGTAATGCAAAAAAAAAAATTAAAAATCGAAAGTGTCTCTTTTAAGAAAACTCACTTTATAAGTTTAATTTCAACTTTTTTGTTGTTTCTGTTATAGGTACCTTATTTTTGAGCACATATTTGAAAAATTTGAGAAAAAATGAACAAATTTCATATATAGCATAATTTTTAATTTATTAGTACAATAGATTAAAAAAAAGTTTCAAAAACACACTTTCTTCGTTGACGTTAAATTTCAAAAAATCATAACTTCCTTCATTTTCATCAAATAAAAAAATACGTATTTTCTTATTTTTCATATAGATTTCGAAAAAAAATGTTTCGGACAAATAAAAATTTTCAGTGAAAATTTCCCATAAAATGCCCCATGTAATTTATTAACATTAAAGAGTTTAAAGAGTTAAACATTGACGGCGTGAGCTAAAAATGAATCACACATATGAATTTGTAGTTCTAAAATGTACTTGAACGTGTATACAAAGTGACATCAATGTGCCTGCAAATTAAAAAAAGAAATTTCTTTTTTTCTTGAAAGTTAAAAGTTTTGTGGATTTGCCCATATACCTTCTAAATGATATAAAAGCAAACTGCAATCTTTTATTTTTAGTATAAAAAATGTTATGGTACTATATTTCAGGTTCGTTGATAATTAAATCAGTTTCACGAAATTACAAAAAAATTGAAAAGATACTAAATATAATTTTTTGAAAACTATACATATATTTAAATAATATTTAATATGTTACTAAAATATTTAATAATATTGTTTCTGGAGATCTGCATTTTCGGGTATAAAACGTCCTAAATTGTACCTATTAACTTTTTTTTTATTTTAGTACACAATTTATTTATTTTTTTTATTTTCGGTATTAATCTTAAAAAAAGATTCTATCGGTAGAAATTTCTGTATGGAATAATCAAACATTGGATGGAATAATATAGTTGTAAAATTTTGTAAAAAAATATTTAATAACACCGTTCGACAAAATTCAACTTTTTTTTTGACCCACAAAAAAATACAACATTTTTGGAAACTAGGACCAAAAAAAAATTACCCGTGTCTGGCCGTTTTGCTAGATCAAGTTGTTTGTTGTTTTTTGGGGTGAAAACAACTCCTAAATGAAAAGTAACAAGATATCTTTTAAAAATTTTTAATTTTTTATAAAACTTGGTATCTGGGGGTTTTTGGCGTCGCTGATTATTAATCTAATGTCAGATTTTCAAAATTTAAAATGGCGGATCTAATATGGTGGTCAATTTTGAAAACATAACATCTGATTCCACATCAGCGTCCCCAAAAACCCCCAGATACCAAATTTTATAAAAAATTAATAACTTCTTAAAATTTTGACCGCCATATTGGATCCGCCATTTTGAATTTTGAAAATCTGACATCAGATTAATAATCAGCGACCTCGAAAACCCCAAGATACCATGTTTTATAAAATATTAATAATTTTTAAAATATATCTTGTCACTTTTCATTTAGGGGTTGTTAAAAAACCCCTAAAAACCACAAAAGACTTGATCTAGCAAAACGGCCAGACACGGATATTTTTTTTGGGTCCTAGTTTCCAAAAATGTTGGATTTTTTTGTGGGTCAAAAATCGTGTCGGACGGTGTAATATTTTTTCAAAGTTCGTAAAACCCTAAAAATCTTTAAAGTTTGAAAAATTAAAAATCTTTTCAAATTAAGAGTTAAACAATATAAACATTTATTTATTTATTTATCATGATACATTATTTATAATTAAAAGAAAAAGTCACTCATATATATTGCAATATATTTATTTAAAGTATGTATTTATAACCGGGGCATGTCTAATCAGTAATTGTATTGCACATTATCGTAAAAATGATTTTCCACGTGTTCTAAAAAAAATTCTATATAAATACAAATAAAAAAATTAAAAATAATTCACCGTATTCTTAATACAAATTGTTTTTAAATTTAAATTAAATTTTTATTTTTTAAATAAATTTTTATTGAATTTAATTTCAAAAATTGATTTTTTATTTAATTTGTAGTTTCATTAGAATTCAACAAAATTTCATAGTCATATAATAAATAAAATTACATTGTCATTATTTAAATCAATTTTATTTAAATGCAAATAAAATTATTTTTAATAATTTTTATCAGGAATCTAAATAAATATAATTTATTTTATTTACATGAAGCAGTTTTATTTTTTATAAATAAAATGAAACGTAATTTGACATCTAATTTTTATTGAAATTTTCGATACACCTATAAGAACTTCAACATTTTTTTTTTTTACTTTTATCTAAGAAGACCTCTAAAGAAGTACATTAAGGTGTTTGAAAATTTGTTAAATCTCTTTTATATTGAAGATACGCGATTAAAGTGTAATCTTTGTAAATAATATTTTTATTTGTTCAAATTTGTTGAAAGCTTTTTTAATTTCACAGTTTACTGAGGCTCTCAAATTGAGACCATAAACAGCATTAAAACGTTGCATTATCAACAATTTGATACACTTTATGGTCTCAATTTGATATTCTCAGAAAAACTGTGTTCATAAAGTCTTTATAATTAAATATATATACTTGATCCTTATTGGTGTTGCGAATTGAGCGTCGCAAGATAAATCCATTAGATGTAAATTTGGAGAACAAATCTTTTTTTTTCAATTTTTATTCACATGAAATATGTGTATCGATGTTGATTTTAATTTTTTTTTTAAATTAAATTTCGCATATATTATATAATATATTTAAGATTGAGCCAATCTATTATTTTAATTACGCTCGACCATTTGGTGATCTTCCTCGAGAAGGTGAAACGGACGGAGATGGTTCAGGACTTCCACCGTTACTACTTCCTCGACGACTTCCGGCTCCTCCAGTTTTTAATCTTACCATTGTATCCAAATGGCGAAACCTTGAAAATCATTGTTAAATGATAATTTTTGTTTCATTATAAAATTTGTCAAAAGTTTAAAAGGATTTTTTATTTAAATTGTTACATATATTTTATATGTATGCAAATAATTATTATTAGAATGAAAATAATAAAAAATTTCATCAATACTTTACTTTTCGAAAATCCCCCACCTGAGAGATAGTTCACTGGTATCGGCAGCATCCTTTGCTTGCATCAAATAGGCTAATGGCCAGGATATCCACGAACGTCTGAAAAATACAATCGTATCTAAACTTTTTTTTTTTAATTCTTGAATTTGGAATTGATTTTTTTACATTACACCTTCATAAAACATATTTGCTTATCACGGCACACAATTTTTTGTGATAATTAGAGATAGTGTAAAAACACTTCTGAATGTGTAATAAATTACCACATGCATAATTAAATTCGCTAATTTTATTTCCTGAACATTTTCATTTTATTACTATTTGTTTTAGTAATAATGATTTTATAATTACAGAGCCACCCAGAGTGTGTCACTGTTACTTGACTGGTAATAGAGTGTTCGTCCGAGCGTCGGTCGAGTTATTTGATCGGGACCCTCAATTAATTTCATATTATTAATCAATTATCACATATTCAGTTACTATAGATAAAGTCTAGCGTATTTTAGCTTAGAAAACAAATAACTTTATATTTAACTAGAATATTCGCTGGTTTTAGTGGAAATAGAGGACACGTGCAATTTTCGTTGAAAAAGAAGACACGTGCATTTAACTAAAACACGTGTGTTCTCTTTTTCAAAGAAAATTTCACGTGTCCTTTTTTTCTACTATAACCAGTGATTATATAAAGCAAATTTGATAGCCAATTAAAGCCGAATTTCAGCATAATTAATCAATTTGTTTCAGCATAATTTTGACCCCTCGAAAAAGCAGAAAGTTCCTATCTCTATATTGATAATTATCTTTTTCATATCTTTATAATATTATCACAGAAAATTAAAAGGCATTAAAATAAGCTGCAACGCTTCTTATTTTAATCCAATTTTGCTTATTTTAATACCAAAATGGATTAAAATAAGCAAAATTGGATTAAAATAATAAGCGTTGCAGCTTATTTTAATGCCTTTTAATTTTCTGTGATATTACTAAATAGAGAAACAATTTCCGCTCATAGATTTAAGCGTAAACACAGAGTTGAATTAAAACAAATCAAAAATACATTTATTCAATAAAACACAAAAAGATTTCAAATATTTCTCCCATAATTAACTTTTCAATAAATAAATGGTTCGACAATTTATGTGAATTGAGATTTAAATATGAAAATAGCTTTACAAGACATTTCTACAAACAAATAGAAAAAGTTAAGCTCCTTGATCGGGATCAAGTCTCACAATAATAATTCCAACCAGAAAAATGAGAATAATTATATAAAGAGAAATCTTTAATAATTATATTAAACAAGATTTTTATACCAATTACAGTATGCGAAAATTTTCAGGTGATCAAAATCAAACTGCACTGGACAATTATTTTCAAAAAATATACCTCCCCAGAAGTAAACCCCATTTTGAATTTTGTAAAAGTTAGCTCAAAAATTTTTTTTATGGTCATTTGAATTTTATGAGCATAAGACTATTTTCTGATCTTTCATATACCCAATTTTTGACCTATAGCTTGATTTTTCAGACATATATTCGATTTATATTATCATAATTATTTTGCAGAAATGTCAATATACAAATAGACTCATTTTGTGTACATCCTATATTTTAAAAACGCAATTTTTTAAACCAAATGTTTGGAACACGTCTATTTTTCAATTTTTTCACTATAATTTTTAAAGTATTTAAAATTTTTTGCTACTTCTTCTAAAAAAATTGTAATAAACTATAGACTCAAAAATGAAATTTCTAAAATAAAAACAATAAATTGAATTTAAAGTTTGCTTGTTTGTATTTTATTTGGAAACATAACGGGACATGCGCCCTTTCGTACAAAAGTACTCCTAAATCTAAAAATTACATTACTTTATTTGACTAAATCTATAGGTTGCCACTTTAGTAATAATGTTTTAGTTCGAATTAAATATAATATTTTGTAATGATGATGTGAACCTTGTGGCATTACTGTCAAAAAAATCTATTTCATTAAAAATTATATTAGCCACTTTGCTAAGCCGAACAATTAAAGAATTATTACCATAATTAGTTCTGTGGTATGCTACTGAAAACAATTTTTATCGCCTGGAAAACATTTTAGGGACAGATATAAATACAATATTTTAAAGGTTTATTAAAAAATTATAAACAAAGGTTCGATTAACGAGTACCCACATGACTTAATAATGAAAAGAAAAATTCTATCGGGGCCTGGCTCCGTATTAACATCCAAGTCCTTAATTTGTTGCCGAAAAACAAAAAATTGGACAAGTGCGAGTTACACTCGCACTGAAATCGAGGGTTCCGTACACGAAGCGAACTTATTTGGTATAAAAACATATGTTTAAAAAATATAAGTTTTATATGTCAAATAATGTAAGTGATACAAAACTTATATTTTTTAAACATACATATGTTTTTATACCAAATAAGTTCGCTTCGTGTACGGAACCCTCGATTTCAGTGCGAGTGTAACTCGCACTTGTTCGATTTTATTTTCAATTAAAATAAACATTTAAAAAAAAAAAAATGTGAAAAGAATATCGAATTAAAAAAGGAAGAATAGGAGGAAGAGAAAAAAATTGGAAAAAAATAAATAGAACAGAGAAACGAATAAAAAACTTATGGGAAAAGTACACAGAAAATTAAAAGGTATTAAAATAAGCTGCAACGTTTATTATTTTAATACAATTTTGCTTATTTTAATACCAAAATTAATTTCCAGTATATTTTATTACAATTTTTTTTTAGAAGATATAGCAGAAAATTTCAAATACTTTAAACATTCTAGTGAAAAAATTTGAAAAATTGCCATTTTTCAAACATTTGCTTTCAGAATGTAGGATGTTCACAAAATGAATTTATTTTCACATTGGCGACATTTCAGCAAAGAATTATGATGATAAGAATCGAATACACGGAGAGAAATAGATGGTACGGGGTACTATCTAGATAGTACCAGGTACCATATTTGATCTTACATATACGGACAGCTATCTAGATTATATTAGTTGCTATCCAGTTTGTAAGTTGTAACATCTTGATTGTAGTGGGTAACATAACCATACTTTCTGTAACATCTTTGATAGTACCGAGTAGCATAATGATGATACCGGATAACATCTACTTTTTATCATCTTAAGATCATAAGTTCTTACCATCTATTTCTCTCCGTGTATATATCTAAAAAATCAAGTTATATATATATATAATCCAAAAATTGATATATATGAAAAATCAGAAAATAGTCTTGTGCTCAAAAAATTCAAATGACCATTAAAAAAAAATTCCGAGCTAACTTTTAAAAAACTCAAAAACCTCCATGAATTTGGCGTCGACGCTCAGCGCCGAAAATTATTTTTCACAGGACCAAAAATGTCAAATTATTTTTTTTTAAGATTTTCGATCCAAATAATGCCTTGAGAAATACTTTTTAAGGTAATATGTGAATCCAAAACTTTTTTAAAAATGATTTGATATTTTTGGTCCCGTGAAAAATAATTTTTGACGCTGAGCGTCGACGCCAACTTCATGGACGTTATTTTAAATTGTGTGCATTGCTATTTATTTTAATCCTGCCTAAGGATATTGTAAAGAATATTATTTTTTTTTAAACATTTTAATATTTTAAAAAGAAATATACTTATGTATATTTACTTATATTTATTTATGTTCATTTTATAATTATAAAATATATCAAGGATTTCATCTGTAGTGACCCAGATCCAAGAATAAAATATGCTGCAACTTGCATAAACTTTATTTCTATATAAAGGTAGAACTTTCAATACAAAGAATTATTGATAAATTTAATAAGAAATATAAGAATAAAAATTAATGTTTGGTTAAATAGCATTTTTTAATAATCTGTAGTTTTTTTTAATAAAGAAAAACTTGTATACCCTAAAAAAAGTAATCTTGATTCTAGCGAATACCTCTTAATTTTATGCATATTTTCCTCTTATAAAGGGTGTTCCAAAAGTATGGTATCTTGCAAATATCTCGAAAAGTACGAATTTTTGTAAAAAATGTTCAAGATAAAAGTTGTTTCAAACAAAAAGATGTACATCTTTGAAACCAAAAAATTTGGCCCAGAGCCCAATGTTGGGCCCTATAATGAAAAAAGTGGTTTTCTTAAATGAGACTACTAATTTTCAGTATCGAATTCGTAATCCCCATGAAATTCTGCGTTCAGACATGTGGTATAAGTGCCCAAAATATTGGGCCCAATCCAAGATATTGGGTCTAAAATTTATCAACAGATAAATAAATTTAAAAAAATCGCATCTTGGAGGGATTTTGAGATCACAGGATTAGAATTTGAAAGCTTATTTTCAAATTGAGCATAGAGCCCAATGTAAGAGCCCACGGTAAAAAAAATTAGTTGTCTTAAATAATCCAATTCGTAATCCCCATGAATTTCTTAGGTCAGACTTGTAGTAAAAATGACAAAAATATTGGGTCCAATGTCTGGGATTAAGCCCAACATTTTTGGTTAAATAAATAAATTTAAAAAATCGCATCTTTAGGCGTTTTTGGGGTCACAAGATTGGGCCCAATTTTTTGATTTCAAAGATGTACATCTTTTTGTTTGGAACAACTTTTATCTTGAACATTTTTTACAAAAATTCGTACTTTTCGAGATATTTGCAAGTTTCCATACTTTTGGAACACCCTGTATATTGTATCAAAAGTAATAGTCTTTACTTGAGAGGATTTTCCTCTCGCATATAATTTGACAATTATGGTTATAAACTGATAAAGAAAAGCTATTATCATGCACTAAATTAAATATCTTTAATTAAATATTAAATATAATTAATGATTTATAGTTAATTACTTACATTAATTAATAGATTTGTTTATTTATTTAACTTTAATTCAATGTTTTTGGCTTCAGAACCTCAAAAAAATTGTTTTGTTTTATTATTAGTCACCAAAGAATAAAAATATTCTACATTCAAGTGGAATACTTTTGTTTTAAGAGGAAAAATTGAAAGGATATTAGAAGAGGATTTTTCCTCTAAATATGAGATTACTTTTTTCAGGGTGTAGAATATGATTCTAATAAGATTTTCACTTGTTTTACGTAATTTGTTT